ACTGATTTAGAAAATTCCCCTCACTTCCTTGCAACATTTCTCTAACCTTATTTTGCCATGTTTTTTTCCCTTTTAAAAAAAGTGAGCTCCTGTTTGTTTTTCTAAAGCTATACTATAGCTTTAGAAGCTAAAACTATAATGAGTAAAAAATAACACTAGATTATATATAGACTTCAATTTGAGATTACTTTTTAGTGATAAAAGTAGACTTTTTATGGTATCTCTTTATAACTAATTAAAACTCTCCTATTCTATTCTTTTAACCAGGTGAGACAGGACAGTGGCTATCCAAGTTGTCCTTAGCAGTTGACATTTTCATGTAGCCAAATGCCACAACTTTTCTTGTTTGATATTAAAACCAAATTTTTTTTTTTTACTGGTAATAGATAACCTTATTTTTTGGTTTATTAATATTGTGAATCTTATCTCTTAACTCTTGTGTTTGAATCTTTCTAGGTTGACCCTACAGGGGAATATGAAAATCTGGTGACTATACAGTCATTCAGGCAAGAGTTTCGTTTAGCAGGAGGCCTGAATCTACCTAAAATAATAGATTGTGTAGGGTCAGATGGCAGAGAGAGGAGACAGCTTGTCAAGGTAGGTTCGTTGATTTCTGCATTATTACAGCATCCTAGTATTAGGAAGGGACTTTAGAGATCACCTAGCCCAACCTGTACCTAAAAATGAATCTTTAGGACAAGAAGTTGTCTAGCTTTCCCTTTAAAAACTTCAGTGAAAAGGAACTCATCTCCTTCCCCAACTGTTCATTCCACTTTGAGGCCTTTATAATCATTAGGAAAGTTTTCCTTATTTTAACTGAGTATCAATCCATCAAATATGACTACATGGTTTAAGTCTGGGCTATTTGAGAATGATCATGGCATCCAAAGAAATAAGGAAAGTAGGAAGAGATTCAGGTGTGGAAGGAGTATAATGAGTTCAGCTTTAGGCATATTAAGTTTGAGATACCAAGATTCTAGTGTGAATATTTAGTCTAGCAGTAATTTGAAAGCATAAGATTGAAGTTCTGAGAAGTTGGGAATAGAGATAAAGATTTAGAAGTTATCTGCATAGAAGTAATAATTAAAGTCATGTGTTGGGATAGAGATTACTAAGGAAAAGAGTGGAGAGAAAAGATCAAAGGAAGCTTGTGGGGATACCTGCACCCAGGGCTAGGAAAAGGAACCAGTGCAGGAAACAAAGAAGGATTGGAGAGGGCAGGAGGGAAGGAAGGGAGGGAAGAGAAGAGGAAAAAAGGAAGGAAGGAAAGGAATGGAAAGAAAGAAGGAAATATCTCATTTGATCCTTACAACCCTGGGAGGTAGATACTATCCCTGTTTTACAGTTAAAATAATTGAGGCAAATAGTTAAATGATTTGCCCAGGGTCACACAACATGTAAGTATTTCAGGCAGTATTTGAATTTAGATCTTCCTGACTTCAGCCCCACCACTTTTGTCTGTTGTGGTGCTTAGCTCTAAGAAGACAGAAAAAGCAATGAAAGACCAGTGTCTAATTTAGAGCTCTTTCAACAATTTGAAATAAGCAATTATAGTAGAGTGAGGAAGGAAGCAGATTATAAAGGGTTGAGCAGTAAGTGGTAACCATTAGAATAGACCAGTGGTGTCAAACTCAAATAGATATTGTTCCTACTGGCTGCATATTGACTTATAAACCCACAAATTAACATCATCTGTGTTTTACTTTATTTTTATTTATTTTGTTAAACATTGCCCAATTATATTTTAATTTGGTTTGGCAGCACTCAAGGATTTTGCTGTCTATTGAAAATAGTACCAGGTCTGTAGTCAGGTTCAGAGTCTGAGTTCAACTATCAGCTCTGTTTCTTAGTATGTGTTTCACCTTGGCAAGTCATCTGACTTCCCTAGGCTTCAGTTTTCTCATCCGTAAAATGAGGGTAGTAGACTAGCATCTGGAATTCCTTCTAACTCTAGATCTCTGATCCCATGAGCTTGTTAATCGTAGGGTCATACTAGCACAGATTATCTTTGGCAAGGTAAATAACCACCTCATCTTCTGGGATTAGAGGGAAGGTGAAAAAAATGGGAGAAGACATAGAAAGGTTTTGTGGTATAATGATGAGGAGAGAACTCAAGCTAAATGGCTTCATTTTTTTCAGTAACATAGAAGTGAGGTCTTCTCCTGAGACTGTGGAGAATGCCTGTACACGTCAATATGATATAAATAAGTAGATTGCTTTCGAATTTCTCCATCATCCTAGTCATTCCTCCTGACACTTTCTAGTTTGTTAATGATCTTTTTAAAAGGTTGTACTGAAAAATGGAAACAGTATTCCTGGCGTGGAACTTTCATCTCTCTCGTTCTGGACAGTTCTATTAACATAGCCCAAGGTTGCATTAGCTTTTTTTTTTTTTTTTTGAGTTTTGTTGCCTTTTGTTTTTACGTCAGTCATTTCTTGTTACTTTATACAACCTCTTCCCAGTGAACCCTCCCTTACACCACTTTAAAAAAAAATTAAGCAAAATTAACACATTGAGAATATCTGATGGCATGTGCAGAATTCCACACAGGAAGCACTGTGGCACTTTGGAAGGAGTGCTCTGAAGTAAGAGGCCCATGGGTTCAGGAGCTCCCCCGTTGCTGTTTACCTGCATGTAAGGCAGCCTCCTTGGACCTCAGGATGGTCCTTTGAAAAATCTGTTAAACAAGGAGTTAGACTGGAGGCCTTGGAGGTGTCTTCTAGTTCTAGCTCTACAATCCTGTGCCTGAGAAGTATTCTTCATCACCCATTCTCTTGGGCCACTATTGTTCCTTAAGATTTATCAGGGCTGGTTGCCTCTCAGTGTTTGTATTTACTCTATTGTAGTAATAATGAATGTTGTCCCAGTTTTGTTCCCCACTACAGCAATTCATCTTCCCAAGCTCCTCTAAATTGTGTTTCTTATGGCCATAGTAAATGCTGTCACATTCATCTTCTGCAGCTTGTTTTGCTATTCCCCAATCAGTGGGTACCCACTTGATTTCTTGTTTTCTCAAGTTCATCTTTTTGCCTGCCGTGTCACCCTGTTGACTCAGATTAAGTTTATAGTTCACTTAAAAGGCCCCAGGTCCTTCTCACATGAATTGTTGCCTAGCCATCCCCCATCTTAAACTTGTGCAACTGATTTTTTTTAAACTCAAGTGAAGTACTTTACCTTTAGCTCTAGTAAATTTCGTTTATTAGATTCTACCCCTTGTTTAGCCCGTTAAAGCACTTTGCAATTTCGGTTCTCTCATCAAACTAATCTTCCCAGATTTGGATCATACACATATTTGATAAGCGTGCCATCATCTATCAGTATTTTCAAGTCCATGATACAAAAGTCATGACACTTGGAGTGAGTCTTCTTCCCAATCCTTTGGCTACTTATTTTTGTTTATGTGGGAAGGGAGAAAGGGTTTCTAGGGGGAATAAGTGATTTAAGTGCCTACTTTGTGCCAAGCACTGGTAATAAATGCTAAAAAGTCAAAGACAAAAATTATACAGTGCCAAGTGACTTGCCCAGGGTCACACAGCTAGTAAGTGTCAAGTGTCTGAGGCCAGATTTGAACTTAGGTCCTCATGACTGCAAGACTGGTGCTCTATCAACTGCGCCACCTGGCTCCCCCAACAGTCCCTGTTCTTAAGGTGTTTACATTCTGTCAGTAGAGTGAACAGATAATTAAATAATATTTGCAAAGTATATGCAAAAATAAACAAAAAGTAATTTGGGAGGGACAAGCCAGGACAAATAACTGGAGAGATTCTGGCAGAAAGTGGCACTTGGAGGTTTTGAAGGAAACAAGGAATTAGAAGAAGCAGAGATGAGGGGAGATAGAGAAGGTGTATTCCAGGCATAGGAGCAGCTGGTGCAGAGGTTTGTAGAGGGGGATTGAGAGTCACATGTAGGGAACCTGCAATCAGACCAGTGTGGTTGACCCTCAAAGTAGGGGAAGGGGAAGAATGTATTAATAAACTTGGAAAGGAAGGTGATTTGTTTAAAGCTCTTCTTTTAATATGTCTTTCCAGGATGATTATACATTGTGCATTTTATATTCCAATCAAATCAGCATATTTGCTGTCCTATTATATGCTGTTCCATTTCCCACTTCTGTGGCTTTGCACAGGCTATCCCTATTTTTGGAACATTTTCCCTCCTCAGTCCAACTTTCACAGCACCTCGCTCTTTCTCTGTAAGGCTCAATCCAAGTAACCACGGCTTGTTCTTTTAGGTTGAGCCTCATTCCCATGAAATGACTTTGTACACATTTTCTATGCCTTTATTCTTATGCTTAAATACAGATAAGAATGCAGATTCTTTGCTTGCAGGGACTGTTTGGTTTTTGTCTTTGTATCCCTAGACCTAGCACCATCCCTGGTAGGCTGTTTAAGTAAATGCTTATTGAGTTGAATTGCTCAACTTCTTATTTGGAGTTTTTTGTTGTTTTTTTTTTTTTCCAATTATCAAGGCAGCATGAAGGCTGAGTTAGCATATTTGGAGAATTGATGTACCTTTTTTTGTGTGTGGAAATAGATTACGATAATTGTTTTTGTAGGCTTCCAAAAGACCTCAGTTGTATTAGCTGGCTAATGAAGCTACTAGACACTGTTACCATGTCTCCCACAGGAAAGCACGATGGTATAATAAGGAGAAGAAAAAAAGCAGACTTCATGTTCAGGTTTTAAGTGGTCCAAAACATTTTTTAAATTATGTGCTCTTGAATTCATATCAAGAGTCCTTCTTCATTTGTGGAAGATTCCAGAAGGTGGCAATTACCACCCTTTCCAAGCTAATAGAAACTCCCTAGAGTCTGACAAAGCTAAGGAGAATTAGAGGTCAGCCCGACATCTGTTTAATTTTTGAGTACTCAATATTGTACCTATGAAATATGTACCTCTCAGTCTTATTTTCAGAAATTTCTAGTAGTTAATTAGCAAGGACAAGGGAGGGAGAAAATGGTTGTTTGAGGTTTTTTGTTTGTTTTAAAGTACATGCCTACCTTAAATGGTAGTCTATTCTGGAAAAGATGGCATTCAATGTCAGTTACTTGAAGAACTCAGGCCAATTTTTTCATCTCTCATAAGGAACATCATTTTTCTGTTCTCTTGCTAAAAAGAAAATGTTATACTTCTTAAATAAGAAAATAAGTATACAATTAAATAAAATTTAAAAAAGAAAAATAAATAAGTAGAAAAGAGGAAAGAAAATAATTATAATATGTTGTGCTTGTTTTTTCTAAAGGGTCGAGATGACCTGCGTCAAGATGCAGTGATGCAGCAAGTTTTCCAGATGTGTAATATGTTACTCCAGAGAAACGCTGATACAAGAAAGAGAAAATTGACCATTTGCACATATAAGGTAAAAGTTTTACTTTACCGCGACAGGTATGCTAGATGTCATTTTCATATAATATAGATTTCTTTGGCTTTTTTAAAAAAAATTAATCACTGAAAATAACGATAGTTAATCATTAAGAGGAAATAATCTGATTTATCACCCTCTGCCTTATTTTGCCTATGTCTTAAAGCATGTGTGCCATTTTATTTGTAAACTATTTATGTTTTCCGTTGATGTTTTCTCAGCACTTATCCCACTTTGGCCTCTCTGCAGCTTTTTATACTATTGGCCTCCTTCTGGATATTCTATTCTCCTTTGGCTTCATTGGCATAGCTCTTTCCCAATCTTCTTCCTGCCTTTGCAAAGTCTTTTCTCTTTTCTCTCTCCCATAGGTTTAATTATCACCCATAAATAACTTCTCTAATGATAGCTACAGGTTTAATCTTTCTCCTGTAGTCCTATATTACCAACTGTTTTTTGAACATCTCCACCAAGTTCCCCATTTGGCATTTCAAACTCAACATACCTCACAGCAGAACTCATCTTCTTCTATAAAACTTCTCATTATCTTCTTCTGTTGGACTCATTATCTTCTATAAAACTTCATCTGAAAAACTTCCTCTAAACTTGGCTATTTCTGTTAAATACACTTCAGTCACTTAGGTTTGCAAAAATCGAGTCATTTTTGACTCCCTTCTCTCTCCCCCTTCCTCACCCTCAGATCGAATTAGTTGCCGAATCTTGCCTGTTTCCACAACATTGGTCACACCTGTTCTTTCATTTCATGCTGCCACTAACCCTGCACTGGCTCCTTATGTTTCCTGGACTATTGCAATTTCTGTGTTCTTCAGTGACCTTAACAACAGGTGCTTAATAAATGCATTGAATAAATGTTCATAGATTATACAGTGTTAAAGTTGGAAATCACTTAATCTGTTCATTTTACAAGTGATGAAACTGAAGTACAGGGAAAGAAAGAGACTTCACCAAATTCTTACAGCCTGCTAGTAATTCAACCAGAGCTAGAATTCTTTTTCCTTCCCTCTTAGTTAAATATTTTCTCTCTTGCAGAACACAGCTTCCTTATGACAATCATTCATACCAAATAGACACCACCCTTATCTGACTCCTAACATTCAGTTCTTCATCACCAGCTGTTGCCTGGATATCTCTCTCCATCTCAAAACTAAACATGTCCAAAATGTAACTAACTAACCTGTTTTCCTAATGTCTCTGTTTCTGTCTTGGTGACTTCCATTCTTCTATTCATGTAGATTTGTAACTTCCAAGTCATCCTTGACTTTTCCCTCTCTCTTACTCTCATATACAATCAGTTCCCAAATCTTTGCCAATTATCAGTTCTCCCTCCACAAAAAGTCTTACATCTGACCCCTTTTTTTCCACTCAAAACACTATAGTTAAAGTCCTCATTACCCCTCAGTTAGGCTATTGCAGCATCCTCCTAATTAATCTTCCTTACCTCCATTCTTCCCTGTCATTCATATTACACATAACTACTAAATTGATATTCTTCAAGTATAGGTCTAATCAGTCTCATTCTTAGGAAACTTCAGTGATTCTCAGTTTGCTGGAAGAGAAAACACAAATACCTCCTTTGTCATTTAAAACCCTTAACAGTCTAACTTCTGCATATTTTTTTTTCCTTTTAAAAATGTTTTATTGATTACTTTTGTCTTCATATTAGAGGCATTTTTTTGAACCTGCTCCTTCCTCTATCCTGTGCTGCACCCCCAGAAGCTTCCCTTTTAAAAAAAAAAAAAAAGCAAGCTGAACTATCCAGTATGACTTCATCTGAAAATCAATAAGCTGTTATTAAGGACCCACTGTGTATCAGACAGTTGTTGCTAAGGTTACAGTTAGAAAAGTGTGATAGTCCCTGCCCTGAAGGAGCTTATATTCTCCTAGGGAGATGAAACATTTTCACAGGAAAGTGAATGTAAGGTATACACCAAGTAAATGCACAGTGATTTTGGCACAGGGGGAGCCAAGATAGTTTGTAATGACCAAGTGTAAGGGAGCTTTGATTAAGGAAGACTGATTCTTAACTACAGGTATCCTAAATGGAGCCAGCCATCCATAGGACTGGAAATTGTTACTTTCTTCTCAGGTGCAGTGTATGCAGCATTCTGCCATAGTGGTCCCTGTCTTCTAATACCGAGGCTAGAAGTATATTTAATATTTCTTATTGTTTGGGACCATTGCTAGTTTTTTCAGCTACTTAAGAGTTGGATTTCCTTACTCAAAGTGTTTTCATTGTGTATATATAGTATGTTTTGAGTTTTGCTTATTTCATTCTGTGTCAATTCTTGCAGATGTTTCCATGTTTCTCAGAATTCTTCATAGTCATTATTTTCCATGAAATAAAATTCCATTATATTCATTACTGTAGTTGTTTTGTTTTTCAGCCATTCTCTAGTCAGTGAGCACCCATTTTATATTTACTTCTTGGCTGCCTCAGTGAATATCTTGGGCCTCTTTTTTTTTTTTGGTCTTTGACTCCATTGTAGTATGTGGACAGTAGTAAGACTGACGGGTCCAAGGGAGGGGATATTTTAGTCATTTTCCTTCCATAAAATTCCAAACTGATATCCAGAAGAGTTATATAGTTTCACAGTTCTACCAACAGTGTATTAGTATGCATTGCTTCTCATAGCTCACATTAACTGTTAATGTTTTTTTCCAGTTTGGAGATTGGAACCTCAGAGTTTTATTTGGATTTATCTTGCAGTTGGAGCATGTTGTTAAATGGTTGTTTAGAGTTTGCCATTCTTTTGAAGGCCATTCATGTCCTTTGGCCACTTATCTATTAGGGAATGACTCTTGGTGCTATAGATTTGGCATTTCTCTATGTGTTTTGGATATCAAATTATTATCAATGATATTTGATGCAAATATTTTCCCCATTTAACTTCTCTTAGTCTGTTTTCATTAGTTCTTTATGCAAATACTTTTTAAATTTTATGTAATAGAAACTGGCTTTTTGCTTTTTATAGTTTCTTCTATCCATCGTTTGAGTAAGAATTCCCTTCCTGGCCAAAGTTATGAAAGATACTTTCATTCAACTCTAATTTTTTTTCATATTGGGGCTGTTTTCTGATCCCGAATTCATTTTAAGTTTGTTGTAGTGTATGAGATAAGATATTGGTTCAGACTTAATTTTTGTCATACTCTATTCCAATCTTTCTGGCAGTTATTGTCAAAAAGGGAATCCTTCCCCAAGTAATTCATGTTCCCGAGTGTGTCAAACACTGGTCTGCTTATTTTGATTGCTTTCTTTTCTCATTTATTTAGTCTGTTCCACTGATCTCCTTTTCTTTTCTTTTTTTTTTCATTAGCACCACATAGTTTTGCTGATTACGACTTCATTATGGTTTTTATAAGATTCTCAGATCTAGTGGCAACCTCAGAGCCCATTTAGAACAACAATCTCATTAAATAGTTGAGAAAACTGAGGCCTGGCCAGTTTAAGTAATTTGGTCAAGGTCTTACAGATAGTATGCATCCAAGGTGAGTTTTGAACCTCAGAGTCAGCACTGTACCGCTCTTCATCTCACCTAGAAATTGTACACACAGACATTGTCACTGTGTTGACTAGTTTTGTAAACTTATCACTGTATCATTTTTGCCAGAGAGTCTACAAAGCTTCTACAGAATGTTCCACAGGGAGTTTCATAGCTGAACTTTAATTATGTTACCTATTTCTCAATAGTGCCTTACCATATGTAAAAGATACTTCTTCTGCAACCATAGGTAGTTCCCCTTTCTCAGCGAAGCGGCGTCCTTGAATGGTGTACGGGGACAGTGCCCATTGGTGAATTTCTTGTTAATAATGAAGATGGAGCTCATAAAAGATATAGGCCAAAGGACTTTAGTACTTATCAATGCCAAAAGAAAATGATGGTAAGTCACAATCATAGAATCAGATATCATTTTAAGATTGCCTTGTAGTACATTTCAAACATTGATATTTGTATTAAAAATGTTTTGATATACAAAGTACCTTCAGATATGTGACATCACAATGAAAATGTCTGTGTATGACAATAAAGTAAGGTAAGGTTGATTCTTAAGTTTTACAAAGCACCAAGAGGCACCATGGTCCAGTGGGTGGAGGGCTTTCTTTAGAGTCAGCAAGACCTGGGTCCATATCTTGTGCTTAACAAATTTTAGCTCCATTACCTAATTTTCCATTAACTTTGGAAACTTTCCAACGCTTTCAGCTATAAATGAATTGCTAATTGGCTTTCATGGAAGGAGTTCCTGCATTGAGTGTTGCACTCCACTGATGAAATCACGGGTCCAGACTCTTATCTGCCACCAAAAGAAACACAATACCAACGTTAACCAGCCAAGAAGGCTTTTAGTTGAAACTGGAAGCTTTTAACCTCTTGCGTGTCATGGGCCCCTTTTGCAGTCTGGTGAAGTGTGTGGACCCCTTTTCAGAATAATATTTGTAAATTCACAGAATAAAATACATATGATTACAAAGTTATATTGAAATAGTTATCAGAATATCAAACAGACAAGTTCTTAGACTCTAGGTTAAGAACTTGTGGTTTAAACTCTGTTCCTGTCTCAGGTCCTAGTCAGTACCTCATCCTTAGCCCCCTAGGCACTTGGTAGCTTGGCCCTTCATTTTTTTGGCTTTGATTTGGTAGAAGGAAAAGTTGATGGATAGAAGTTGTCAGGAAGACATGTGAGCAGAGTA